CAAACGGAAAAGCTCCTTGAGAGCCGGAATCGCAATTTCCGCGCCCGCTTTCTCGGCTGCCAATCGATTCGCCGATTTACGGTAGCCACTTTCTCCGATTTCCAATTTGATCCCTCGCATTGTGGCGCGACAGCGCGATATGATGCATCGCGTGCACGGATTTTCCGTAGGTAATGGATCTCGCGACCACGTAAATCCGAGGAAGGTCTCGTTTCGAGGGAGGATTTAATTGAATTTCGTTGACCGCAATCGTGCGGTGACATTGTGTTTCAGTTGCCCCGCTTCGATAATTACAGTCTCGCGATGTCGCGTGTGCATTCTAATATCGGACACTATTATCTCTTTCTGCAAGTCTAAGCGCATCTCTTTCTCGCAACGATTACTCTATCTCCCTTTCAAGTTGATTAAATTGGAAATGATGGCGCAATTAACAGTTCTATTGGTATAGATAAATTCCCTACAAACGGAGCTGTACCGAATTAAACGGATACAATATCCTCCCTGCTTAAGAAGCGCAATTCACGCGGCTGAAGGATGCGCTTGGAGGTGAAAGGCACGACGAGGCCGCGACTACCAATTAAATCGTACCTTCAAGAGGACCGCCGCGCCGAGAGACTACGGATAACTCGCGTGCGGCTTGTCCGAGGCGGATTTCTCGACGCGGCTCTATGAGCTTACGAAGTAGCCGCATGGTTTTTGCGGCGCCCGTAGTTTTATGAGGCTAATTTATTAGCCGCCCGGACATGGAACATCACGGAACCGTTCCTCGGGCGGTTCTATCCTACGCGCGAGCGCGCGCGCTCCCCGGGAAGCGCAAGAAACCGCTCAATCTTCGTTCCAATCTTCCTAAAGTACAAGTGCTTCGATCCCTGAGATTTCTCCGCGTCGCTTTCTTGCCGAGGAAAGCCGAATACAACGGCGTCGTCGATATCTTGAAGGCGGAACAGTCAACGTCATATATGTAGGTGTAAATCGTAAAATGTAATCATAAATTATTATATGCACTTTTTGAATTCTTGAGAAATGTATATCTTTGTCACATCAATTTGTTTTCCCACGACTAAACATATATCTGCAGTTAGTGTTGCAAATCAATAACGAATTTATATTTATATCATAAAATTTTTATTATTTTAATTATCTTTATTATCGTATCGTTACTCACGACTTGAATTGACGATGGCAACATTCTAAAGACCAAATTTATGAGGAGATACGCTCTCGATCCGTACGCGAAGCGCATGGATAAAACTAATGCAAGCGTAGAATGCGATTGACGGAAACAAGTTGTCGACCAATGTATCTTCCGCTTCCCGAATGCCGCCGCCGCGTTGTCGTTACTATATGTTATACCTTCGCCGCTACCTTCGCGAAGCGATGACAACCGGCAGAGGCTATCTTATCGCGATCTGCAATCGAAGCGACGCGTAGTTACGTGTTTTGTAGCCACGTTACTGTTTTGTGCGTGCACGCACGCATGGTATGCGCGGCCGCTGCTCGCCGGATCCGCTCGGCAATTCAACGATGTGACCAAGGGTATCATTAGAAATTCGTCTCACTTTTTTGCGCGAATCAACGCCGGAGGCAGCAAACGATTATGCAATCCGTCGCCTTCCTCCGCTTATGCAAAAGAGTGTCCACCCTGTAAGTGGGCATTTACTCTCATAATTATTACGTAAATTACCGAATAATTATGCAGCGTTTAATCGGAACCGTCAACCTGAACGAATGATACATGTCTCGATGGCTAGATAAAAACGAGGTGGCATTATTGATCAGCTATTCTTTTTTTCGCTTTAATTCATTATCTTCTTCTTCAAAAAATTATATCGACATTTCTATATAATTTTATGCAATTTCACGTAACATGTAATGATCAACTGTATGAACGAATAATGTGCGTTCAAAAAGAGAAGCCTATATTATATAATTATTCTTGCGCATTAACATTTTATAAAAAGTATAACAAGCTTTTTCTTTTAATTCTTAAAATATGTATAACGTAGTAATTTATGTACCTAACATGTGAGACAAGAATATTTTACTAATTTATATTAATATTTATTATAGTATAAAAAAAAGAGAAAGAAAGAAGAGAGAAAAAATCTCTACCTTTTTTATAGATCTTGGGACACAAAATCATAATGTCAGCCTAAATATTAGAGATTTTATAATTTTTTTTTATTTTTTATAATAAAAAAATCAACGCAAAAAATTATTAAATAAAAAGAGTAGTGCTCACTGCCATATTTGCAATATAATAATTTTTGTCAAACCAAAATGTGACATTTATGCATTGATGACTTCTAAACTCTTTACTCAACTGAAGTAGTTCTCACCAAATTCAGTAAAAGCTAAAAGCATCAATATAATGAAACAAAGGCGAAATATGTGTGGTATGATACCGTGGCGCAATAGGTACGCTTGAAATACGTTCAAAAAGTAGCACCATGGGAGGTAGCATCATCGCGCTCGAAACGATCGTGAAATCGTGTTGCCGGGGGATAGCGTACGCGTGGGCCGGCGCGCGGCGTTTCCCGTTTCTGTTGGCAGCGGCGAGCTCATACATTCGCGAGATTAAGGCAGAACGAGATCAACGGATAACACGGCGGAGATATATATTGGTGGTTTACACGAAGCTTGTGAGACCCTGGTCCGAACGGTTGAGAGCCGAGGCCCGCAGCCTTCAATCATTGTCAATCGGTTCGGACGGAGCACCGTTATGGTGTCTTCGTGCTATCGTCGTCCCATGGGATACACCTACCATTCTTTGACAACATTCCTACGTCGCCACGCAGTCCCGTTCTTCGCGAATATTTGCGAGGGCACATTGCTGACATCATTAGTGTCACGTATTGCATACGTTACACCCTGCTAAGTGCTCTAAAGGGCAAAAAGAATTGCTTTTTTCTGCACTTGTGAAAAAAATTACAAATGTCTTTTATAGTTCAAAAATATCATTTATGATGTATAGCTGATGAGGATACGCTATCGGCTTCTAGTTACACGTTCGATACACGAATTCATCGTCACATTAATCAAAGGCGAAGCCTTCGTGCGAATGGACAGCCTGCATCGAAAGATATTGTTGCAAAAGCTAGAAATCTTTCAAATACAGCGCTATGCGGGGATGGTCTAGTTCAGTTCGGATCATCTCGTTTTACGACACTGGACGATGTTTGTTCTTACTTATAATCGTAGGTATACCGACGACGAAGACGCGCGACACAGAAAACTGCCGCTCGCTGAGATTGCTCCGCTCCGTAACCGGAGACATTGATAAGTAGGATAAAGTAAGAACGGGGACTGGGGTACGAGAGCGCGGAGGATGTTTGGTCCAGGCAAATAGATTTTATGAGCCCGGCCGTTCGCGTACGTAACAGTTAACTCGGGCGAAGTGCCTCTCCGTGGCACATTTTCGCTCGGCGCAGAATGACGATAAAGCGCAAGCGACGGATAAAAAAAATGACAAGGGGGAAAAGAGGACGGCTGGGCGAGATACGAGGTGTAAATATTCGTGAGGTATGCGTGGGCGCCCTCCCCCCTCACTCCCGGGCTCTCTAGTAAAAGATACTAGACCGACAATGCAGGTGCGCATCCCGCGAGCAAGAATCTTTTTGCAACGTCTTAAGAAGCATCACCTGCAAGAGCGCGTGCTCTATCATGATATCGAATTGTTCGACGACATCGACGCTTATTGTCCCTTGGGCCGCGCGAGTAATGGAAGAGCGGTCGATCGAGCGGCTTGCGAATTTTAAATCTCGTATAATCCGCTCTTAAATTTACTTTCTCATCTCTCGGCGCGCTCGTTGGTAGACCACGTTTCGCCGATAAATCTCGCGCAAATTTGCCCAGCGTGAACGAGAGAGAAAAAGGTAGAGACTGTAATCTACTTTTATACTCTTCGTCGAATCCACAAAATATTAAAGTCAATATTTTAAAGTCACATTTTTTTTTTAATACGTATTAAAGAAACTTTAAAGGAATTCACACGCGACCCATCGAAACGTTCGTGTGTTAGGCAATCAATTTGACCGTTGTACTAGCCGCATTGTTACGCAAATCGCCGTGGCGCCGCCGTTCGCATGTGATATTATCTTATCGCAATAGAATGGACCGTACACTTTGAGCAGCAATCCCATGTCAATGAAGACGAGTTCAATTAAACTGCCGTAAACGACGGCTGAAGCAGAATTGTCGGTGGGCCAACCCTCAAAGCGACGTAGAAGAACAACCTCCCCTTCTTTAATATCTGTTCTCGTGGGTTACCAGCAACCCTTTACCCATGAGAGAAAGAAACCGGTACACTGGGTCAGAGCACGTGGCCTACACGTGTTTAATTGTGAATAGCGAGGGTACGGAACGTCTCGAGAGAGCATTCGCGGACGCACCCAACCGATATCTCAAATCCGTGAGGCACATGAGTGCGTTAATTAAGACCCCTCGAAAAGGGTTAAAGCAATTAAGAGAATAATCTTCCAAACGATCTTCAATTTCAATCGCAGTGCATAATCCATTAAACAATTTTTGATCAAACAATTTGAAAGCAATATGCTCCTTGAATGTAAATAGTTAACAAACACGTAAAAAAATCAATAAATTGTTAAATTTTATACATTAATGCAGTATCTTTTTCACTATTTCAATTTTTATAATTAAATCTAGTCTTTATAATTAATTCATAATTCAACGTTAAAATAGTTCAACTAGGTAAAGTACACTGTGAGCAAGAATTGTACGAGTGATAGACCCCGCGAAGTAATTTTACGACCCTCGATACTCGTGGTATTTTAAAAAGCAGAGTAAGTGGAATTTTGCAATCATACCCGCGAACAGGATCCCAGATATCTAACCGTACATGGAGAGCATACGCCTGATTACTTTAATTGCTTCGCGGAATTACCTATCAAGCAGCTTTCTTTAATTGAGTTTTTTTCGTACCGTGAACGTTTCAGGATAATACGCTAATGGCACAATCATCATGTTGTAAAGAAACTCACCGTTTCGGAGGCGACGTTCTTGACTTCCGCTAGCAAGGCTGCAGCAGGTGAGAGATAAGTCCGGACGAAGTTCTCCAAGTTGCCGTGATAAGCGCAAACTAGGATATCCCGTGCTTGTCTTATCAGCAGATTCATAACACTGTCGCCGTAAATCGGTCCGAGCAAGTTCCGGACTAGAGTAGCGAAGTCCCCGCGATTCTGTAACGCAATAAAAACATTTCATTGACTTTTACGCGAATACTAATTTCAGTAATTTCAAGATATTGTGTCTGTGCGTTTGACAAATAATTTATATCGTACAAGACACAGCTAAACATTTATGAAAAACATCACGCGCATTTTCATAAATCCAATATAAAAATCGCCACGGCTCATTTTATGGGCTACGCAACGCAACATTAATCACACGTTTTCAACACATGTTTGGGCACCGGAAGCAATCGAGACGGAAGGGATCGAGCAGTTTCGCGAATTCATTCAAATTGCTATCGGCATTACGGCGGCCACACGCAAAATCTGTTACTGGCAGTTATCCCCCTCGACGTGAGGGTAAACAAGGGGAACACGATTTGGATTCTGTGACAAAAGCTGGCAGAATCTTTGACCAAGGGTGCAGTAACACCCACGGGAGAGAAACGTCAATATTCCTGCCGAGCGCATTGCTTAAACCAATACCGGACAGAACATTATTCCTGAAGCGCATCTGTGCAAAATCGTATCAGCTGCGTATAGTCAGCTTACATCCTTAACTTGCCAATGCAAACAGTAGCATGAAATAAATCAATAGCTTTTAAACTTTTTATCTCTATAATGTAGCAAAATTTACAAGTTTTAACAATGTCTGAATAGACGCTTATATAACAACAAATTGATTATATTTTATAAAAAATTTTCTTTTCATCTTTTATTTCGGTAAAAATATTTTACAATTTATTCCATTATTAAATTAATTTTTAATTTATTTTAACAAGTAGGTAATCAAATCTCTTCCGTAAATTCATAAAAATAGTCTTCAACTTTACTTAGCTAATGTATATATACATATTTAATTATCCAAATTTTAATTGTTGTATAAAACTTTCTCTTAACTTCCCCCAAATCTACGATAATTCGATAAAATCGGCATAATAGATCCGCCACAACCTAGATCTCCGTAAATAGATACACGTTTCCAACGAAATTCCAATTTGAGCGACCAGTTCTCCGCATTCCTCCGATAAAAGCGACGTAGTCTCCTTTGCGAAATGTCGATATTGCGCCATTGGCGTAATCTCCCCCGACATCGCTTTCCCACCGAACATACGAATACCAACGTGGACAAGTGGCTGTGTCGTCTTGCGTTCGATGTGGGTGCATTATATCGAGCCGCATCATCGCCTCGGAGTGCATAAACATTGAGGTTTAGCGAAGGCATACGAGAAATGGGGGGAGAACGCGCAGTGTAACCATTATATGTGCGCCCGATCGCCCACGTATTTCCGCCCTCATGGTGCGTGCGGATGGCCGACCACAACGCGATCGGCAGAGTGTTGAAAGCGCACGAGACTTGTCTTTTCGGAGAAACGCACACCACCGCCAAGGGTTTCACGTGGGATCTGGGTGATCGAGAGCGAAACCGGATGTGGCGAGTATGTGCGACGAGTACAAAAAGCGCGACTACAGTGTACGGACCGCAACCGCGTGCTCTCAATAATGTTTTTTATTTCAATTGAAATTCAAATTCGAGTGAAATTTGTTTAAGCAAAACTTTAGTCTAAAACTCATTTATTGAGATAATATTAAATATTAAAAAATTATTATATAAGAAAATAGAGTTTCAAAAAACATTCGCTTAAAGTTGAATCTATAAATAAAAGATAAATAATTTTCTGGGATATTCTATTAATAATTTATAATATTTATATCATTTTTAACATAAAAAATGTATAGATATAATAATCTACAAAATTTATATAAGCTTTAAGCTTATAGAGTAAGCTTTAGATCAGATAAACTATGCAAGAAATGTCTTTAATTAAATAAATATTTTAAGAATAAAAAATAAATAATTTAGCAATAACAAATATTAGATATAATATAGATACTTATTCGTGTCAGTATATCATAAATTTTAAAAACTACTATCTGAGTTATAATTATAATACTTCGGGAAGTACTGCCGATAATTCTTGTTCTGTCACGTAGTGCCATCCCACGGGGTGTGCCGATCATAATAACAGGCCGACACGAGTCAGTACCAATATTTGACCACCCGAAATTTATGGGAAAAGGGTAAGGCGGCGTTGTGCATAAAGGGCTCGTTAGGGGAGGCGCGCATCTCCCGCAGGGGATTCGTAGGGATGAAAACGGACACGCAGTCTGGATCCGCATATAAATTAACCGCGATTCACATGGCGGCGGTTTTAATCGTCTACCAGGTCTACCTTATGGACACACGTTGTTTATTAATGTATTTACTCATGTGAATAGAGAAACTGTGATTTATTACTGTCGTGTATTCACGTGCCGAGTGCTAATGCGAAGTGGTCTACGATGAGAGAAAGATTTAATGTTTTTTCTCAAAAGATAATCCAAAACGGAAAGACTACTATAATAAAACTAGGATTTTATAAAATATCTGCTGCCATAAATCTATATAAATTAGTAAAAAATTATATATTATGAGACTACATTATAAAAATAAGAATTCTAATTGTGCATTAATAAATTTTTACTTTTTTTCTAGAAACTAAAATTGAATACATCTTTTTCGAAAATATTGAGAATACATTTAAAAAAAACGCTATTTCAAAAAAGCTATTTCAAAGCATTTATAGATACGGACAATTTACCATATTCGTCACGAAAATATTAAGAATATATCAGTATTTTTATATAATAGATAATAAAAATAATTATTTAAAATTTTATATATTTTTAATTATTTTTATCAATGCTTTTATATAATTCACTAATAAATCAATAGATATTTATAAAAAAAAAAATCCATGAAAGCAATGAATTCTTATGCATGCTGTTTTTTATGTAAAACACATGTTGTGCAAAAGTATTTCAAAAAAGCCAAAAATTAATAAATTTGATAACTAAAATGCATTGTCATACTACGTCGAGCACTATGTCGGAAAAGGTGAAAATATTCGTTCTCCATTTCTTATACAATGCACTTGAATCACAACGCGATGAAGACAAAGCGTTTCGCCCGTGAAATTAGAATCACGCTTTTACACCGAGATAGGTTTCGATTAGTCTCTTTGTTTAGTGACCCGTCTTGTATAATAGCGCCACTGCTCGTAAGCTTATCGCAAATGTCAATTTGCATTTTAATCGACAGAATTTCGTTTCACAACCGCAAAGCCATATGGAACTTTAGACAAGAATATTTTAAAGCAGAGATCGGGAAAAACGAAATAATGTGCACCAATGGTTTAGATAAAAATCTGTAGAATGTCAAACGCGGTAGGATTAAAAAAAAAGTAAATAAAACAAAAATAATGTAAATAAAAAATACACAAATTTTCTTACAAAAATTTACATCAATTATAATAAAAAAAAAATTGTTAGGTATTTTTAAACTTACATGTGCGATTCATCGCATAACATTCAACTTAAAATTCAGTATCATAAAAAGCAACACTTTGGAAAAGCTATAACAATGATATTAATTATAACTTAATTTTATGTAGACATATATTGATAAACAGATCCCTGGGAATAATGCTAAAATGAATGGCTAATGCGACAGTTGATTAAATTTTGACGTAGTTAAGCGTATTTAGTGAAAGGGTCCGAGACTATTCTCCCTAGAATATTGATCAAGTCCCTCAGTTCCCCATTACATTACGCGTGTCGAATTTCAAATTAACCCAGACGCATGTCAAATTCGTCTCATGCACACGCTTACGCGCGCGTTTACTTGTTTAGTCAGCTTCCGAATTTCCCACCGTTTTGCGTACTCATCCCCCGATTATCTGTTAAGGATTTATTGCTCAAACACATGCTTTAGAAAAAAAAGCCTTTTCAACATTTTCTCATAAGACGCATTATAGGGAATACATTTAAATTTTATATTGCACGATACAAAAGTCTCTTTTGTGAATATACATATTACACAAAAAATCGGAAAATACTACACACCGCTTCGAACACACTAAATTAATTCGCCACGCGAAATCACTGCGTATTTTGCGTATCCAAAGATTCGACGAGAATTAAGAAAGTAGTACATGCACATTACGAAATATTAAGAACCGCCTGGCGTGGGGCAACTCTCGACGATATTTTCTCGACCGTGTCTGTCGACCGCCCATACAGCCACGTATTCCCGCGCGCACGGTACGCGCCGCGCGACGCGACGTCCCGATAATTATCGAAAAATGCGCGAGGGGTCGGCCGTCATTAATTAAATAGCCGCACGAATACGGAGGAAACCTATCGGAAGCGAGGCGGCCGCGCGCCGTTACACAATACACCAGAAGCAACCGCAATATCCATCAATGCTACGCTCTGTTCGGAGCCACGATAATGCAACGGACCACCGTTGCGAGCCGTTAGAGAGAGATTCGCGAAAGGGAGGCTGAGCCCGCGGGAGAGAGACGGCGAACGGGGAGAGGAAGAGAGAAGGAGCCGGCAGAGGTACGCAGCATGGAAACGGGCATTAATCAATCCGCGCACGTGGAAAGGCAGCGGCAGCGGTTTAGCGGGACGGAGCGGTGCCTCACTTGGCTTAATAAAGTTGCAAATCGTTTCTGCGCATGTACACGTCGTGATTAGACGCGTGACACGCGTTACGCTATCCGCGTGCATATCTATAAGAAGACCGTTTACGCCCGTTTAAAAAAGCACCACGTGTCTGTCCGTCACGTTCTCCACCGTAGCTAACATTCTCTCCGTACCAGCGTACCCGTGATACACGTGAACGCCTCTTGGAACTTTTTAAATACGTCCGCCAATTAAAAAATCGGCGTCACCCCGCGCGTCACAAAAGTAGAGACAAGGAGATTGATATGATCATTTCTCAGATTAGAATTTAACAACGAACGATTCACATATTCGTAAGTTAATTGGTCGCGTGTCACGCGATTTCCAGTAATCTGAAGTGTCATAACTGTAATTGTGCAACAAAATTTAATTTAATGTATTTCTTGAGAATTGTGATTATAATACGGCTATTGCCAAATGGCTATTGCTCCTCCCACCTA